AGGCCTATAGCGCGTAGTATAGTCGACTAAGTAAGTAAGGAAAGCTTTCTACTCTTTACTCTTACTACTCTATTCTCTTACTCTATCCTCTACCTATCTATAAACGTCTATACTTCCTCTAGTACTATACTTCCGCTATTCTACGATTCTGCTAATATAAAACTATATATATAGACGTAATGTCTATTTCTACCTTAGTTTTTCTAATTTTAAAGATAGCTATATCGAACTCCTATAAGACTTATTTACCTAGAAGGAATAGAACTTTTAATCTAAGCCTCGAACCGACTATATGCTCTACTAGGTAGTACGAGTCTTAATATATCGTAGCGCTAGTTTTAATAATAGTATACTTCCGCGCGTTCCTCCTTAGGTATTTTCGTTAATATAGTCTCGTTATAGTACGAATTTAGCTCTAAGCTTTTTCTAAGTAGAAATTAGACTCGCCTAGTCTCCTAAGCTACGAGCCTTATATCTTTAGCGTAGCTTCTACGAGATTCTTAGAATATATTTCCGGCCAAAAAAGCCTATATATATTATAGTTCTCTATAATAGTAGCGCGTTAATTAGTAGTAATATAGGAGAGAATACTCGAAGTATAACTCTTAAGGATAATATTAAAAGGAAGAGTAGCTACTTCGAGGAGCGAGCGAGAGATCGGGAGGTCGTTATATAGGAATAAGATAGCAAATATATTTAGTATATTCTCGTCTACTTAACGCGTAGAAGTAGTTATAGATTTTAGAGTAGCCGAAGCCTATAGGCCGATCGGACCTTATTTGCTAGCTAATATTATAACGGAGCTATAATATATATACGCCTATAACTATCGCCCGCCTGCGTCTATCTCTCGTTTTCTCTTCTACTAGATATAACGACTCGATTATTACTACGAGCGAAGCGCTCCTCGACTCCTTACTATAGCTTAGGTTCTATATAGGTTATATTTAAGTTAGAGATAAGTAAATAGTACCCTACGGCTAGCCTCGTATAAAGTAAATTACTAATATAAGTCTAAGTATATATATACTTACTTACGACTACTTCTACTCTACTAGCTTTATAAGCTCTATTAAGTCTATAGTATATAATAACTACTTTATATCGTCCTTATTATCTCTATCTACTATATACTATAAGTATATAGTCGTAGCTAGTATAGTCCTACTTATAGCCTCTATACGTATAGGTATCGGTCGCGTAGTAGCTATATCGAGGCCTACTTCTCCTATACTCGAGATAAATACTTCTATATCGGTATAATATCTCTTTAGAGGAGGTTCTGTTCTCTTAATTAGTATAAGTATACTCGCTAGAAGCGTTATCTTAACCTTAGGCTTACTAGTATAGCGTAAGAGATCGGAGACTACGCTTATAAATATAAAGTCTAACCTCTTTAGTAGTAGAGTACTTATCTATATCCTATCGCTAATAATAGTATTTACTCTTATATACTTACTCTTATAGAGAGCCGAAGAGTAGATAACGATACGAGTAATCTAAGCTCGGGATAGTATAATATTAAATCGACGTAGGTCGGTGCCTAAAACTCCGATATTTTCGCCTACTACGCTATCTAGAATCGTATAGTTAATAATATAGACTCTGCCCTCCTTACTTTTATTACTATCTATAGTCTAGATACGAATACGCGTATATAAGGGCGCAAGGATGCCCTCTAATAAGCGCTTCTAGTCCCTATAGAATATAGTTATAATAATATCCTCGTACTCGAACTTCCCTTTTTCGAGAAGCTAGAAGATTATACGCAAGACTATAATAGCTGTCTGCATATTATACTGCGATTTTCTTCCCTATATTATCTAAGAACCGAAGTGAAAGTCTGCGCGGCGTTCTAGGGAGATTATAATAGAGGATGTTGCCGTATTAAACAGCGTCTTACTGCGAGTAGCCAGCTGCGCCAGAAAGTTTTGAGATCCCGCGTCGTGTTCTCGTGCACGAACGGTCGAGCCGTCTCTTAGCTTGCCATTATATATAGTTGAGTTTATAATAGAGCTGATGCTGGGATGCATACGGTATTGCTCCGCCAAGGTGATCAGCCGCAGTACTGCACTGATCAGACGTTCCATTTTGCCATACTCTGTGAAGATGTTGCGGAGGCTGAATATTGCAGCCGGTAGTTGTTTCGGGTCGCCAATGATCAAGACACGGTCCAGTCTACTCTGGGCGGCAAGCACAATTGGGTGGACAGCGCGAGCCTCGGTCATCTGCGAAGACTCGGCCATGAGGAGCGCATGCGGCCTGAAGCGTCTCAGAAATGGTCTAGATGCTGCAGCTGCGGTGGACAAGATGCCCTTCGAGGTTGCCGCATATCCGACCTGGAGCGCACGAAGTGCATCGTGGAATTTGGTGCGCAGGTCTTCGAGATATTCCTCGTACCCACCATCGGTCTCTTTGTTTTCCTCAGGAGGGCTCGCAAGCTGATCGTGAGCGGATCCGAAGCTGCGGAGCTGGTCACCTTCTTTCCAGTACTGTCAGCCGAGGCGGCCATGCTCGAGCGCCGTAAGGCGTCGACGGATCGTCTGCTCCAGAGAAAGAATCCTGGTATCGTCTGTATCGGACTTTACGCCCGAGTCGTTCCAGCTAAGTCCCACGTCCACTGCACTCTGGTCACATTTGTGCCCTTCGCTGAACGCTGGCCAGACTCGAAGAAAGCCTTCAGCCTGCTTGTCATTCTTTTCTTTGGCCAGCTTTTCAGCCAGGACATCGACAGCAGCGTTGGACTCCGAGCACATCCAGTAAGCCATTTTGAACTCTTCCAGCAATTCATTAATGGCGGCAACCAGTGGAGATTTGCCTGTCCCTGGAGGGCCAATAACTACCGGAGCAAGGTGGAAGAAGAAGTGCACTACGGCCGCGCTTTGCTCGTTTTTCAGGCGACGCTTGGTGCAAACAGCGCGGATTCTGTCACTCATGTATCCGTTTATGCAGAGCTGATTGTTCACTTCCAGCCAAGGGTGGCTCAAGTCCTGCGCGAGTACAAGACGCTTCCAGAACCCCAACTTGCTCCCATCTTCCGTTTCGGGACAAGTCTGCATCAACTTTAAGACGCGTTTCTGCAGTTTGTCGACTGGGGTCCCAATGTGTCCGAAACGGAAATGGGCTCGCAAGACACGGCTCTCCATCACGTATCCGCTTGAGGCAATTGCCCAGAAACGACGATCCCAGTCTAAGTCTCTGTTCCGTTCTCTTCCACACGGGTGACCTTCATCTCCACTGGCTCCTTGAGCTCCGACGCTAGACCCTCGGCCGCTTCGAGCGCAGCACCACCGCACTCGGCTCCTTCCTGCGTGACTGCAGGCTGGGAGTTCAGCAAGACAGTCCACATTTCGCAACTAGCGACTTGGTCAGCAATGAGCTCCGCTTGATGTATGCCATCGAAAACCTTGCTCGTCAGGTCCTGGGAGTACTCGTGCTCGAAGTAGTGGCTGCCAAGAACACTGCAGATACATTGTCGTTCAGACAGAAAGCTGTTCTGTCCGCTCAGAGGGCCTGAGATCGGCACGTGACGCATTGGCCGGAAAATGGTTTGCACATCCTCATCGAGAACGACTCCATATTTGGTTTCTTCTGTGGACCAACCACGCTGAGACTGGTGCCACTGCCACCATATCCGATCGCGCCGCTGTTGCGCTCCACCCTACTGAAGTATACTCCGAAGCTCTTCAGATCCGCTTCGGTGACGCTTGGTATCCGTACCAACGTCTCTGCAGTGATAGGCCCTTCTCCGAGGACCGTGTGAGTGGCTTGGTCCATATGAGCAAAGTACGCGTCCGAATGCTCTTCGGGCGATCTAGAGAGGATGGAGTCTCGCATCTCCCGGTCAAAGATGGTGCATCCTTGCTCCGTTGCCTGCTGGCGACGCACTTCGAAGCATTTGCAAGAGACGTCACGAAAGAAGTATCTTTGCGAAGCTTGGGTTTTTTGATCTCGTTTCAGGAGTTTCTCGTAGAGCTAAAGCAGAGAATCGGTCTGGGTGCCTCTGAGGGCAGGGAAAAGTCGTCCACGATGGCAACGACATCCAGCAACATCTCGTCCATCTCCTTGTAGTAATGGTGCTCAATGCGATCTTGTATGATGCTGAGGTTCATGGGCCGGTTGTTGGACATGGAATGCTGAGCAATTGAGTCTTCCATGAGTCCATAGAGAATACGTCGCTGACTTGGAAGGTCGAATGGGACACCTGATGCTATCTTGATTACTTTGAATGCACTGAGGTCGTTACGACTGAGATGTACACGGGTCTTCGGTTCGGGCATGTCACATAGTGGCTTAAGGTGAACAAGCTCTCTCTGCTCCAGCAGGTTCACGTATCTTGGCGGTGCAGTAAGCTCTTGTACTTCTTCAGTGTCAAGATCTTGAATCAGATCATCGTCATCGTCGGATTCCGGGTGCTCTGCATCTTGTCGATAGGTCTCGTCTTCGCCGGCCTCCGAGAGCTCAGCTTCAACCGGGGACGGAGTGGTCTTTCTGCGCTTCCTGAGTGGCTCTCTCGTTGGCATTCGAGCCGTGTTTACGTCCAGCTCGGCCAGAGCTCTGGACTTTGCCTTGGTTGACCTTCTCAGTGAAGCAGGCATTTTCGTTGGTGGATCAGGAGGAGAACGTGTGAAATACGACTCCGGTGAGATCGGGAGTGCTTGAGATGCGGCAGGAGATGGGATAACTCGTGTAAAGCGGCTCCCGTAGAGCCAGTAGAGCTTGGGAGAGGTCTGTGGAGTACGCGTGAAACGCGAGTCCGTCGTGCTTAGGGAAAGGTGGGCTCGGCCACCAAGTCGACCCACCTCACGAGAGATGGTGCTAGTGCGTGGATGCACACTCTCTGAAAGCGTTCCGCGCTGCGACAGCGGCGATATTGAGGCCAGTGAGCAGAGCCTTTCGGAATTTGCGGGAGAAGACATGTTCACCAGGGATTACATCTATCTCAGCCATGAGAAGTGCTCATCGAGCTTAGCTAGGCGCCTGAGCTTGCTGCAAGTAATTCCCTCGGAGTCACAGCTATAGCCTTTGGATTGATAGAGATGTGTGAATGTGCTCGGAGTGAGGTGTTCTTACTCTAACAGAAGGTAGGGTGGAATGCGGCGCTCGACTCCGATTGAGGCCGCAGTGCTGAGGTTCCGACAGAGACCCTTCCAAGCATGTGAGAGGCCATCGGCATCCAGAAGGTGTCATCTGCAGTAGCTGATGAGTATTGGCGGCTGGAAAGAGTTGGGTTGATGGGTGCTGAGAAGCAGGAGAAGCAGAAGTCTTCCAGGAACCAACCCTATTGGAAGCCAAGGCGTGGGACTGCACATGCAGTACCGTCCGAAAGAACCGCAAGAATTGACCATGCCCTCCCACAACTTTCATCCTCGATGCTATGAAGAGAGGGAGACAGGCACCCGATCCGAAATGCGCTTCGGCCATTGGTGCGGTCAGTCGAGACTTCGCCTTCTTCGGCGACGGACGCTCATGACTCGCGCATTCTGGGTGCAGCTGATCGGATCTGGTCGATTTTTCGGCGCAAGTCACTGTCTGACGGAGGCGTGAATGAATGCAGATTTTGGGGTTCCAGTCGAAGTGTTGTTGTTGTTGCTGTGGGACAAAGTCAAGTTCAGTCCCAGAGCTTTCCGTGCCAAGTCCAGCTCCCTGCCCCGGCACGGCCACCCGAACCAACCGCCCACTGCCCTCCAGACAGCGGACAACAGAATATCAATCACAGAATGGCTGCCATCCCGCCGGTGGTGCGCGGCGAGTTTCTCTATCGCGACGTGTTGCTCGTAGACGTTGGCGGCGAGCTCAAGCGCCATCCACGAGCATCCGAGTCCGAATTGAAAGCTCTCCTGAATGGCAAGAATGTCGCAAAGGATCAAGTAGGCCATAGGTGGGAAGCACAACTAATCCACTATGGCTTGCAACGCAGTAAACAAAAAGACACTGCCAAGATCAGGTTGTCGCAAGCTTTGGCTCAAGGGAAATTGAAGACGCAGCCGCCGCATCTTGCCGACATGGAAGCGCAGATGAAGAAGGAGTATGCTGCCGCTGTGAGGAAGGCTACGAAATCGAATTCGACGCCTAGCGGTAAGGCGACTAAGCGCGGTAGAGAGGAGGAGATGGAATCGAGCTCCAAGAGGACGAAGGTCTCGGTTCGGGTCGGCGATGTGTCAATCGACATTGACCATGGTGATGCCGTGGCAACCAAGAAGCAGAAGAAGACCGACTCGACAACTAAGACGACTAAGGCTGTTGCTGCGCCCAAGAAAGTTGCTGCTACCAATGCAATCAAAGCATCATCGAGCGTTCCAGCAACGCCGAAGACTTCCGAGAAGCCGCTTGGAAAGGCTTCCTTCTCCAACGACAACCCGTTCCAGAGCTCCGCGTCCGACTCGAGACCGACACCTGCTACCAAGTCAAAAGCAGCGCCAGTTAAGAAAGAAGCAAAGGTCAAGTCGGAGCCTGCAGCTCCCAAAGCAACTCCCATGCGACCAGCATCCTCCACTGTAAAGCACGAGGGCTACCTTTTCGACGAAAATGCCATGGACACCCGAGTCGACATGCCTCCCGAGAAATGGGAGATCACCGGAGTCTACTCGATCCACTGCCCTCAGATCACGGAACAACTTCCCAACGAGGAACCAAATCTCCGACTCTTCATAGAAGTCAACGTCGAATCGGGCATCACCTGGGGTGGTTTCGAGCTCGCCATGAAGTCCGGCGTCGTCAAAATGGACGAGATCGACTTCAATCGAAAGCTGACCTTTGGTTGGCGCGCGAGGGACAGCTGGGACAATACTCTTCGTTTCGGGAAGAAGTGTTTTGGCGAGATTGAGTTCGATGGGAAGGGTGGCGTGTACGGGGTCTTTCACAGCATGTTCAATGAACCTTGTGAGTTTACTGGGAAGCGGAGGCCTGGTCCGAGGTGGTCCGGGAAGAGTGTGTACAAGTATGAGCAGGAGTGGGATGCGTTCCCGAAGGAGGCCTATGGTCGCTGAGCATGGCCAGAACAAGCACGTAAGTGCGCGCATTCTCATTGTTGGACAAAACGCTCGAATTACGATCTCTCGACGAACGTTGGATGATGGGCCATATTAACGCAGGTCGTCTATACATTGAGCTTGGAATAGACCTCAGTGTCGAATCTTGTCGGCTTCCTGAGATCGCTGGAAGACACTGGAAGACTGTGCTTCCCGTGATAGCAGCCACATATTCCGCACTTCATCGAAGCATATTGGTGAAGCTCCAAATTCAAGTTCTCGTGTCCTCTTAAGATCGGGTCCAGCGTCTCACTGCAGTTGCATTTCTCAATCATCCTCTTCTCCCCAGAGCCAGTTACATCCTCTCCGTCGGTGCTTCCACTGGTCGCCTCTCACTCGAAACTTCGCTGATCGCATGCGAAGGCTTAAGCTCCGCAGGCTCAGAGCCAGGACTGTCGACATATCCAGGACTTCTCCACCCAGCCGGCGCATGACCCTCGCCCAGAGCGACTGCAGAAGCGTTTCCCATCAACGCTTGTTGTTTCGCGTTCTCAATCTTCCTCAATCGTGCCCATAACCACGCAATCGTGCCCAATGCAATTCCCAAAGGCACCCCTCAACCGACTCCTACTCCAATCGCCGTTCCTCGCTTAACAGTATCCGAATCCACATCCGTCCCGGAAGCTGAAGCTGTAACTGTAACAGTCTCTTGTACCGTTTGAACCTCAGTCCCATTATCATCATTCGTCGTCGTCGTCGTCGTGCTCGTAGTTGCACTTGTCGTCGATGTCGATCCATCCTCCAACATCGTCGTATTCAAAGGCCCCAAAAACGTCGGCGCCCCATTAGCCGAAAAATCATACCCTTCGCGATTCGAGCAACAACTTCGTGTCCGCGTATCGTTAATAAACCCGCAACAATACAAATTCTCCGATTGTAGTGTATAGTAAGGTATTATAACTGCGTAGTCGGCTCTATAAACTACTAAATCTATTAATTAACAATTTATTTCCTAATGCGTGCGCTATTATAATACTTAATATTAGGCGTAGGAACTTATAACTTATATACTTATTCTTATATCCTAACTAGTTCTTACTCGTATAGCTACCTTAGTATAAATACTCTACTATCGTACTTATATAAAAGCTATTTAATAAGTAGAGATCGATATTCGGCTAGCTATTAGAGCTTTTATAGTAGAGATCTAGAAATATAGAGTTTACGCCTAGGTAGGCTTTTTAGTCTATAGCTTTAGAGCCGTCGGAAGCGTAGTATATTTAGGTAGAGGTTAGAAGAGAAAGAGAAGTAAGAAGAAGGATATATAAAAGTATAGTAGATATTATTAGAAAGTATAGTCTAGTTAGATATTCTAAGAGATACTTTAGAG